GATTGAAAACCCTACATATCTCACCAGGTTTCGCAAACCTGACTCACTCATTTTATTGCATCACAGGTAGTGGAGCCAAAGTTAAAATTGCCTAGTTAGGATACTAAATGGAATAAAGGATAGGCTTGTATTAGTTATTTATGGACCTTTTTATTTATGCTGTAACGTATGTTCGGATATAAACGAATGACATCCTGAAGGCTTTAATAAAATAACTTTTGTTATTTCAAAATGTTTATTTATTGAGGAACTTCCGCATTTTAATAATTAAAAGCGTAAAGAAAATTTTTAAATTGGTTCTGAAAAATGGGGGATGTCACAAAGAGCCCAAAATGACAACTCAAATGGTCTGTAGTAGTCCATACTCTTAGAGACCAAGTTATCGGACTAAAATATGCTAAGTTCTTCCCTAAACCTAGATCTAGAATTAGAATGATCAAGTTTCAGACTTTATACATCCAATGAGCTAGAAATGATGAACAACCTTTGGATCTACAAGCTCCTTGTTGTCCTTTGCTTCTCCTCAAGTCTCCCTCTTCTTCAAGATCACAAAAGAACACCCAAAACTCTTTGTAAGCTCAAGAATGCTCTCAAGATGGATAGGGTTTTGAAATTAGCACAAAAAGGGCAATGAGGGTTGATAAGGTGAAAGGCTTGAGGGGTTTAATGAGCTTAAATAGAGTACAAACCCTAAAAAATAGGGTTTTCACCTTGCTCGCGTACGCATTGGTACGCCCATCATACGTAGGGGACGCCGCGTCTTTGCGCATTCATGGGAGTACGTTATGCGTACCTTGTGTACGCCCAACATACTCAGGTTTAGTCCATGGTTAATGAAGTTTATTGAAAGAGTTTTACCCTACAATGCAGACGTTACATGTATTATGTTTGTTGTGAATTTTATGTATTAAACTAAAAATGGACTGTATTAAGTTGTCTATTTTAAATAAATTTTATATTAAAATATGAATGAAAATATGCATGAAAATACTAAACTGTGTATTAGTGAATTTTTATGTTTATTAAACTATGAATATTATATTTTCAAACTGTGAATATTTCTTATACACGATATTTTTTTTTTGAAGAAATCTACAATTTAGAAAAAAGAAAATTGATTTTTTTCAAGACATAGTTATATTTTTTACTAAAATTTTGTATATTTTGGTAGGAAAAACAAAAAAATATTACCAAAGAAATGAGGGATACAATATTTAATCTATTAAGCTATAAATATGACCAGAAAATAACAATGAATTTAATGTTAGTTTAGCGGTGGTAAATCAATTTGATGATGAACCTCGATATTTATTTATATATATATATATATATATATATATATATATATATATATATATATATATATATATATATAGAGAGAGAGAGAGAGAGAGAGAGAGAGAGAGAGAGACAGAGACAGAGAGACAGAGAGGTGAGTTTAATTGAGAAAATAAAAAAGGTTGAGAATGGGGGAGTCATTCTCAGCCACTCATTTAATTAGCCTTTAAACATAAAGGATACAGTGGCAAACTTGTAAATATGATATAATAGCCTTCAATCACAAATACGTAAGTGTAGAGAATTAGATAACAGTTGAAATTCATTCTAATCGATCGTTTATCATCCAGATTTCTCTTCCAACCTTCAACAATCATCCATATTTCTTCAATTAAATCATCGATCAACATCATCATGTGTTAATCAATCATCGATATTCGTCAATAACACATGTTGACAACAAAAATTCGTTTTTTGATCTTTCAATCCAACCTTCAATTCTGCTTGAATATGGACATATCTTCAACATCTACGATTAATTATACTCTCAGCATCAGTTGAACAACATCATCGATAATCAACAAAAAATTCATTTCGTATCATTCATTCAACATCGATCATCAAATAAAACATCGAAATTAAGGTTAGAAAAAGATCAAATCATTTTTTGTTTGAAAATTTTCATATATTTCTCTACCAATCTACTATTTTGTAAGATTTAAATAGTTAAAGTATCATATTTATCACATTTTTAAAAAATTTAACTTGTATGCACTCCAACTGTTTGATGAAATGCATAAACTAAATTACCACGTTATATTCACATATGAATATGTTTTCTCACATCAATTAATATGTGATTATTAAAATACAAAACAAATATGCAAGTTTGTATTTTATTCATATGTAAATAACATATAAAAATTATATATATTTCTGAAAACACATTGTAATATTCATATATGAATATACTGTGCAATATTCACATATGAATATACCAACTATTATTCATAAGTGAATATACGATCTAATATTCACAAGTGAATATACTATGTACTATTCTCATGTGATATATCATGTAATACTATATAATATTCACATATGAAAATATCATCTAATATTCATAAGTGAATATATCATTTAACATTCATAAGTGAATATACTATGTAATATTCACAAGTGAATGCATCGTCTAATATTTAAATATGAATATACTATGTTT